CTGTGTCTAAAGGTTGCTTTAAATTTTGAATTGTCTTTTGAGCTCTGAACACTGTTCATAAGAGGATTTTGATCATTCATTATCTCCTTGATAATCATTTTTAAGCATTTCATTGAGGATGGAAACCAGCAGAGAAGGCTAAGAAGATACAAAGGAAATTAAAAACCATTGCCTGTTTTCCCTTTTTTAGAGAGAACTTTCATCCTTTTGGACTGGAATAATTCTAGAAATGTATGTTCCTTCATTATAATTCATTGTCATGCCTCTATTTTTGTTCTGGTCTGGAGGGAATCAAATGTGGTCACATCTTGCTCCTGTTGCTTGCAATTTCACCAAGAGTGGCTCCATAGTTTAGTTGCATATGCTACTACTGGCCACTCTACATTTTCCTCCTTTATGCCATGTCCACTGATGCTGACAGAACTGTCACTTCAACCTATTGTGACTGTAAGGAAAATTTGGCAAGGGTTGCTTATTCTAAATTCAGTATTCTTATTTCTGACTTCCACTGCTAACCAAGGTCACTACCTCTGAGTTTAGGTCTGTCAAGTTACCCTGATACTCTCACATTCTTTGTAAAAAGGTTTTAAAATTTTGCTTTAACAGTATTAACTGAACCTACATTGTGTGTAGGCTGAGACATTTACTTACAGGCATCTGATGTTAGCTTTGGCTTGTTTTGTTTTCCAGACAGCTACTACAGTGTCCTGATTTCAGAAGTGCTGAATACCAGTGCCTTTCTTTAGAGAAATGTCAGAATATTTACAAAAAGGATGTTACTAGAATGTTCAGTGTTACAAAACTGTATGATTTATCTGTCACATATGAGAATGTATGTCACTGGCAGAAAGACCTTTATTCTATTACCTAAGCTACTGGTAAATTCAGAGCCATGGGCAATGTTTTGATAGATATTCAACAATTAAAATACATGCCAGGACTTATGCAATGACACCTCTCCCTCCCTTGTGGTTATTCTTGCTGCAAACGGTGAATTAACATTTAAAAAAATCAGCACTGTGAATACTAGGAAGGTAGACAAATTAGTGCATTTTCAGTTACTGTATGAGATACAGATAAGGCAAACATTCAAACCCTATCAACAATTACATTGCTGGTTTCTATGTTTCTAGTGGTTCTGCCTTGGAAGAGAAGGAAACCTTTTGAGGGCATAAAACATGAGGTTCTTACACCTCACAGTAGTTATAGCCCACTCTTTTGTACTACTATACATTCTTCTTCCTTAATTCCAACAGCTGTAATTACTTCAAGAAGTGTGTTAAATGTAGGAAAGAGTATAGGATCAGTGATGGTGTTCACAGGAGGATAGCTGGGGAGAGCAATTAAATCCCAGTGATGTTTAGACTTCAAATATGATGACAATCATACTAAAACTTAAGGCACAGGAACTTGTAACCAGCAAATTTTGCCTTTCCTCAGGTTTTATGTCAACATGGCAAACAGAAATGTTTTTGTTCTGTGATGACTTAAAATAAATGTTTTATGAAATGTTTTCTGTGAGCTTTTTTGTCAGAGCTCACCCAGGTTTCCTCTCTGTATTCATCTATCTCAGTCAGGCATTTTGAGTTCTGTGGACCCTTAAAGCACTAAGTATCATATTCACCATAAAAGGATGGTCAACAAGTATAACCCTCAAGACTGGAAGTTCTAGTAAGTATTCAGTTATCTGGGTATCAGGTTTTTGCCATGTGTGCAGGTTGATTTGTACAAAAGCTTCAAGCAGAGATAAAAAAAGAAGAAAAAAAAAAGCTAGAGAGGAATAATCACGATGGGTAATGGGGTAAATGGAAAGCCCTCACAGTAGCCTAAGACAGAAACAATGAAGTTTAAAAATAAGTGAAACCCAACAAGCCATTTGATAGCATGGCCTCTGGCACATTAGAACTTGAAAACCCAAGAGTTGCCTTTCAAATAAAGTCCCCTCTCCAAACATGGAAAAACAATCTCTATCCTTGGTGTCCAAGGTACTATATTTACTCACTAGCAAGAGCCAAGTCCAAATGTATATGACAATGAGAACAAAGGCACAAAAAGCACATGAGAGCAGCACATTTAATAAAACAATCCAGGCAAGGTCCTAATCCAGCAAGGTGTCTCAGAATGAACCTTCACTCTTGCCTTAGAGAGTCTTACGAACTTACTATGCATTTCCCTTTTCTCCAGCCTACTCAGACATGTTCTGGTCTGCTCAAGCTCACACTTAGGCAGGTCCATTTGGTGTCTATGGAACATGCTTTATGGGACTGTAACTGTCTCAGCTGAAATGACTAAGTCCCTGATTCCAGGAGACCCATACTTTAATAACCCATCCTGCTCAGGCCTGCCTCCTCCTTCAAAGCAATCTAATCTCTGTGCTTTATCTTCAAGAAAATATCAGTTGTATACAGTATTAAACACAATACTTACTGTCAGGGAGGCACTCCCAACAGGAAAGAGAAGCAAGCACATAATTATCTCTAGTCTTCTCCAGGCTTCCTAGCTCAGCTTCCAAAAAGAAGACTTACTGGGCAGGCTGATCTTCACTCAGAGTGTTTTTGGTGCCATTCTCTTTTCCTTTTCTCCCTAGCACTGATCTGATTTGTATCAAGATGCCCAATCCAAAGTAAAGCAAAGGAGGCATCAGTCCATCCAGTGTCTCTGAGCAGTTCTAAGCCTCTCATATCCTTGCTCTTTGGTGGCATCAACAGAAGAGCTTCCAGCATCCAGGCACCAGCCTTCCATCTTCACACTGCAAACAAAATGTTCGTTGTTGTAAGACAGAGCATTTGATTTTTTTAAGATCTCTGAACATTCACTGCCCAAAATATGTACCTGGAAATCTGATCCCATATTCAAACTAGACTGTTACTACAGTAAATGTGTGCATGGGTTCAAAAGCCTGTGAGGGACTGCCCTGCCAGGTTATAAAGTCTCTGTATCAAAAGGGAGTTCATAAACAAGAGACAACCCCCCAAATCTTTTAGTTCTACTTTTCTAAGTGAAACTACCACTGATGTGAACTTAACGTTCTTTTACACTCTAACAAAGTGCACAAGTTGTTCTGCACTAAGGGGGGAAAAATTATGAAAATTAAAGGTCAAACTCTTCTCATCTACTGCAACACAAGACCTGGAGAAAGGCTCCTGTATTCATTAGAGTTACTTCAGATTTAGAACACAGAGTGGACTTGGAAAAGTCTATTTTTAAATCCTCTCCTCATCATCAGATGAAAGACTGATGGGAGTATTTTACAGACAAGCTGCTTGGTTCAGCACTTTTAGAAGCTTTAAGGAATGCAATCAGATTGTAAAAACTTATGAGAGACTGATGATAGTCCTCAGCTAATTTGACAAGAGTCTTGAGATCGTCCATGTGAAAGTGATGAAATTCTGCTTTAAATTAGAAAATTAAGAATGTTATGTGTGTGACCTACGCAGAAGTTTTGTGCGAAGGAGTTCTCAGATTGCTTTAATAGTGTATCGGAACTAAATGCCGAAAAAAATGATTGTACTTCAAGCTCCTAAAAGTGCTCAGACTTCTTGTTTTACTTGCAGTGACAGGACTTTTAAAGTAGAATGATTATAGGGTTTGAAAGGTTTCTTGTGCAATTGAAAATCTAGATACTTAACCTAAGAAAACAAACCACAACTTTACCCAGATTCCAGTACACAGATACAAATCCCTGGCTGTGTAAATTAACTTAACTCCCTCCAAATCCTAACGTATCAGACAAATTAGCAGAAGGATTACCATAAAGTAAACCCAACTAATTTCAACAATTCAAGTTTTCTTAGACCAGTATGAGTTAGCAAATTATTAAAATATAGGTTCAGCTGAGAAATTAACAGGGATTGATGTTACATCTCAGAATCTACTCACGTGGATTCTGATGTAACAACGTCTGGACACAAAACAACCCAGGATCAGAACTGAAAATGTTCCAAAACAGGCAAAACCCTACACAAATTCAAATAACCTTTGACTGTGCTCTCCCCTTCCAGAGAGCTCATCCACCTGTGTTATATCCCTGGCTCCACTGTTCCTCGGACTGTCTCTGAGCAGCCAGCACAGTTCCGGCTTGCTCTCTTGTGGCCAGTGTTAGAGCTACAATTGTCCCGGTACTGTTCCCTCCCAGGGACCTCTGTGAGTGGTCCTTCTAAAGCTCGGCAGGTTTCCTCAGATTACAGCCGAGCCCATGACTCAGATTTGAACACACAGCCAGGTTGCTGTTGTTGAACATGTCACCAAGCACGAGCTGAGGCACAGAACCGCAGCAAAGGATGGGAACCCGGCACTGCCAAGCCTCAAAGGCAACATCAGTCCTACCCTGTAGCTCTCACATCTGTGAAGTCATCTGACACAAATGGATGGACCACATCCCGAAAAGAGATCTTCGAGACTCGTGGTGTTTTCAGAAGGATGGCCTCACATTTTCAGTGGGCTTTTAAAAGCCGCCTTTCAGAGCTTGTGCTTGGTTATATGAGGATGCCGTTTTGGCCGTGTGTTTGCTAACAGGTGACAGCACCTTCAAATACTTTCTGGCACTGGTGACTATTTTGTAACTGTTTACACTGGTTGTTGGGCAATTTGTGCTATTTTATATATTTTTAAAGATGCCAGATGCTGAAAAGGTGAGGCCTTTAAAAGACTGAAATATTCCTTGATTCTTTATTAACATTGCATCAGGCATCATTAATCTCAAAAAAGGTAGTTTTATGGCAGTAAAAAGAAAAACAGTTCAGAACACCAGAGCTGGCACAAGAGCACAGACACAAGCAGATTGACCAGAGATGTATCCAGTACGACTGTAATTTCAGGAGCGATCTTGCTGCAGGAATCCATTCATTTTAAAAAGGACTTATCAAAAGCCCATTCCATATCAGTAGAAGAATCACCAATTTGTGGTAAGACCAGAAGCTGAAAACATTCCACATTTGCTATTATGCCTCAAGACCATTATCAGCACTCTTCTGAAGAAATCAATAAAACTGAGTGATGGGTTTTTGATTAATAAACATTAACTGCATTTATTACTGAACATAAGAAGGATAATCATTACAGACATTATACTTTGACTACTGGGTTACTTGATCATCAACCTTTGTAACATATCAACAGCAAATAAAACACTCAGGCAGCAGAGGGTTGGGAGTTACTCAGATTAAACAAGTTACTCAACAGAACAAGAGTGACAAACTACAAAGCACACTGAACAATATCACCAGAACTGTTTTGTGTGACCCAGATATGTGTATTTCCTCTAGAATTTGAAGGACAAGCCTCAGAACCACTCCAGCCCCAGGGCAACGATTTCCCAGCAGCTTCAGTTCTTCTGCTTTTTGGGAGTGCCAGAATCACACAAGCACTGGTGCACTGCAGAGAAAAAAGGATCAGCTCCCTGACCTGTCCCATCACACAGTCTCACACACAGCCATGGTCATGCAAGGCTGGAGGCACAAGCGTGTGGTTGCAGGTGGAGGGAAGAGCAAGGCTGACCTTTTCTGAAGATGTAACTGTAGTTTCTCTTTCTGTTAAAGGCAAATAAGCAAAGTTACTATATTGTCAAATATTCTTACAGCCAAGTTGTCTTTTTTCATGCTTCTACTAGGAGCCAAAATCTTTATTCTCCCTAAGCTGCTGTCAAAAATTTCAGCCAACATCACAGACATTCCAACCAAGCTCGTGGATACCACCAAAACAAGCTTTGCCATAAGCTCTAAGAATTATCAAAATATATAATAAGTATGCTTATGTGAGCCACAAAGCAGCAAAAGTCAACACTCCTATATCACTTATGAAAGTAGCAAATATTTTCAAATAATTGATCAAGATTTGAACTATATTTGCACTGCAGTTTTGGCACAAGGACTTGGGATAGATATCTCATAAAATCCTACAACTGAGCTATCGGTAGCAGTCTATAAGTTTGGAATTACTCTTGAGTGTTTAGAATAATTATACAACAATGTTTAAAAAGAAGGGATAAAAATGAGACAAAAACCCCAACTGGAATGTTCCTGCATTAGCTACCTTGACAAAGTCTTACCCAAAACTCCCCACTGATATCCCCTGGTGCTCATTAACAAATCTATAATCTATTTTGTGTGCAAATCAGCAGACTTCTGATTTCCTGAGATATGCATTCATTCACCAGTTGATTTAGTGATTAGAACATGTAATTCTTTTCATAAGTAAGCCAATTTCTTAACTTAATTTTTTACTCCTCATTGGTGCTGTGGGAAGATATTTTCAAAATCTTCTGGTCACAGTAATTGGCTCCTGATACCATTTCTCAACCTAAATTTATTTAGGATAGTGAATCATGATAATAGTATTCGTCCTGCTATTGTTGCCCTGTCACTTAAACTTGTCCCATGACGTGTTTATAAAGACAGGAAGAGAGATGCATCACTGTGATATATCTGCAGTAGAGTGGAAGAGACAGAGAAATGTTAAGACCATCCTAGGTGAATGGCCTGAAACATCCACCTTATACAATAATAAAATCATGTATCTGGTTTGGGTTGGAAGGGAGCTTAAATATCATCTCGTTCCAACCTCCTTGCCATGGGCAACCCACTACATCAGGTTCCTCAGAACTTCATCCAGCCTGGCCTTGAACTGCCAGGGATGGGGCATCCACAGCTTCTCCGGGCAACCTGTGCCAGTGTCTCACCACCCTCAAAGGGAAGATTTCCTCCTAATATCCACTTTAAATCTGCCCTCTGTCAGTTTGAAGCCATTCCCCTTGTCCTGTCACTACACGCCCACGTAAAAAGTCCCTCTCCGTCTTCCTTGTAGGAACATATAATAACGATGAACATAATGAAACATATGATGTTAATATCTGTAAATAATATATGATTCATATCTCCCCTGGAATACCTTTAAGCAAACCGCCTAAAGGTGTTCGAGAGGCGGGATCAGCCCGGGGTCACACCACACCGAGCAGTTCCTTTCCTTTTCCGGGTGTTCCCTCGCACTCCACAAGGGACACAGTTTCCAAGCCTCATTCCACACATCTTTCCCACATTCGGCCTGTCCCGATGCCCTCACGGACAGCGGTGTGACACGACTCCCGTGGATTTCTGTCCCGACCGGGGGGACCCCCGCTTGGGGGGGGGGCGCGCGAGGCGCCTCAGGGATCCCGCCAGCGGCGCGCGCCGCCGCGCGTGCTCGGGCGCGCCCGCTGATTGGTGTTCTGCGCGGCCCCGCCTCCGCGCACGCGCTGTGTCGGGACCGGCCGCTGCCGCCGGGGCTCGGAGCGTGTGGGGCTGTCGCCGCTGTCGCCGCTGTCGGGTGTGAGCGCCCCGTGCCCGCCGGGGGGATGTCGGGCCGCCTGCCGCGGCAGGAGGACGGGGAGAGCGCGGCGCTGCGCCACAGGGAGGAGCTGAGCCGGCAGGTGAGCCCTGTCCTGCGGGGGCCGGACCGGTCGCCCCGGGTGCGAGCAGCCTGAGGGAGAGGAGGGCGGGGGCTGCCGGGGGCCGGGGATCCTGTGCCCAGGGGTGTGCTGTCGGGCCTCGGGAGCGCCCCGCGTGTAGCCAGCCCGTGTCGCCTCGCTGGAAGCTTCTCGGGTTGTCACGTTGGGTCCTTCTGCTCCGAGCGGAGATCGAAGTGTCAGGTGAGGCGCAGTGAGGGTTTTCTCATAGAATCACAGAATCTCGTGAGTTGGAGGGATCCCACAAGGATCATCAGAGTCCAACTCCTGGCCCTGCACAGGACTATCCCCAAGAGTCACCCCATGTGCCCGAGAGTATCATCCAAACACTCCTTGAGCTCTGTCAGCCTTGGTGCTGCGCCCACTGCCCTGGGGAGCCTGTTCAGTGCCCAGCCACCCTCTGGGGGAAGAATCTTGTTCTAATATCCATCTAAACCTCCCCTGACACAGCTTCAGGCCATTCCCTTGGGTCCTGTCGCTGGTCACCACAGAGCAGAGATCAGTGCCTGCCCCTCCTCTTCCCCTCCCGAGGAAGTTGTAGCTGCAGTGGGGTCTCCCCTATGTCTCCTCCAGGCTGAACAGACCAAGCGCCCTCAGCTGCTTCTCATATGGCTTCCCCATATGGCTTCTCTGTAGTACCAACTTCATCCTTACCTGCCCAAAAAGTCCCAAGGGATTCCAGCCACAGAGCTTGGTGCTCCTATGAGCACTATGAATTCACTCCCTCTTCTCTGGTGCCCACTCTGGAATTTATCAAGCCCCATGAAACTGCTTTCCCTCAAAAAAAAGCTCATTGCAGCCTTCCAGTATCTGAAGGGACCTACAGGGAAGCCAGAGAAGGGCTCTCCATCAGGAACTGTAGTGATAGGACGAGAAGTAATGGGTACAAATGGAAAGAGGGAAACTCTAGGTTAGATATTAGGAAGAAATTCCTTACTGTGAGGGTGGTGAGACACTGGCACAGGCTGCCCATGGAGGCTGCGGTTGGCACAACCCTGGTAGTGTTCAAAACCAAGTTGGACAGGGCTCTGAGCAACCTGGCCTAGTGGGGAGTGTCCCTGCCCATAGCGGGATTTTAATGTCCATTCCAACTCCTTAACATTCTATGATTCTGTGAAAAAATGACTTCTATATGGCCATAATGTATAGAGCCAGTGGTGGTTTTGATTGCCTGGGAAGCTACAAAGCTGGGACATAACAGAGCTGCAGGTTGATGGCTTAGACCTTAGCTAAGGATGGCAGTGCTGTTTTGCCTGTTGATGTAGCTGCTGGAGAAGTGGTACTTTCAGTGTGCCATGTTCAGTTTGGGTAACGTCCCTCTGCAGTAGCTTCCTGCTGTGCCACCAGTTCCAGGAGACACAAAGGAAAAAACCCTCAAACCATATAGTTTGTTTCTAACAAAAACCATTGTGTCCTCTGACCAGATTTTGTTCCAGTTTTTGGCTTTTATGACAGTCCTTCTTATTGCTTTTTGCCATTCAGAGCTATCATAAAAGAAAATGGGAAAACCTGCCACATCTGTCAGTGCAGCATAGAATGGAAGATCCCACTAAGGAAGTTAATGCAAAAATCCAGAGCAAGAGAAAGGCTCCCATTGCTCTTAATACAGTTTTAGTGTATTTGGATTTTCATTAATTTCATTTTGAATCTGGAGCATACCTGTGATTATAAAGTGTATTCTTGATATTATGCTAAATTTGTTTTCTAAAGTTATTTGATGTTGTATTAGTTGTGTACATGTTTTCTTTTCTTCTGGGGGAGAAAAATGTGCTCTCTGATAATAAATAGCTAGAGGTACTCTGGCTTTCCAGTAATGATTGCTTTTGGGGGGAGGAGAAATACCAGTGCATGCAAGATAACCTGTTTCTAGAGCAGTTACTTGAAGTATTTCATTTTTATATTAACTTTGTCTTCAGTGGTCCATTTGGAGAACAGCAGCTATATATGCATGTAGCTGTCTTAAAATATCGGTAAGAATGTTCACCACTAGGATTATAACACAGTGGTTTATTTTTAATAATTAAAGTGCATCTTTCATCTTTCAGATTAAAGAGCAGAAGGTTGTAGTAGATGAGCTTTCTAATTTGAAGAAGAACAGGGTAAGTATTTACAAATTTGCTTTTGACTGTTTTATTTTAGAGGAGAAATAAGCATAGAGACAAGAGGGGAAACAAAATCAGAGCGTGCTGTCTTTAATTTGTTTTAATACAGATTTTAATACACATGTGGTCTGCTGTCCTCCCAATAACTTGTCCTGCAAATGATTTGGTTCTGTACCCTTGTACAGTATCTGAGTTATTTCAGTGAGATGTTTGAGTCAATCAGAAGACTTTGTGAAGTATTCTTACTTTTTCTGTGCACGTGTTTAAATTAGAAAAGAGAAATGCAGAATAGTCATGGGTTGATCCTTAAATGTTTTTGATGGTACAACATTAGAATGTTGGTGTTGTTAGGGCACAACTTGTACTTCTGGCATTAAAGTGAAGGCTTATCTTGGTAGACCCACACCAGCTTCTGCTGCAGTGTGGTTCACAGTCTGTTGCTGTGACTTAATACATGGTTTTGTTTTGCAGAAACAAACCACTTAAAGGGTGGTTTTTGTTTTGCAGAGAGTTTATAAGCAGCAACCCAACAGCAACATATTCTTCCTTGTGGACCGAACAGAAACGCTGTCTCAATGCAAAAGTAAGTTTGCAGTGTAAAAGTAAATCAAATGATTGAATATTTAAAAGCTGTATATTAAAATGAAAACCTGACAGCTGTATGTCAAAAACAAAATAAACTTCAGACACCTGCTTGTTTTTCTGGACTGGATAAATGTGAAAATGTTTTCACTTGATATGGATGTGATAAAAGAGCAAGTGCTGAAGATAAAGATGGAGAACATCTGCTCCACAGAGGAGTCATTACTATCAGTGCCCTTTGGGCAGCTGTATAGCACTCTGTCCCTTAAAAAAAATTTAAAATTGCACAGGATGAGGAGAAAGAAAATAACAAGTTTAAACTGGAGGTTAAGTTAGATATTTACAAAATTAGAAGTATAAATTTTCTGTATTGAACAATTGCTACTTTCATTTTCTTTCCTTTGATTTGGGTTAATAGTGTTGACATTTTAATCAACAATCCCCTTTTCTTACTACAAATATATAAGTCATACTGATAGGATAGGCAATACTTGGCCTATGGTAACGTGGTTTTCTGTGGGAGAAAAAAATTATCAACTGTGTAACTAAGAGGAATAAGCTACAGTGAGCTATAGTAATGATGGTGTACGAACACAGCACTTTGGTTAATTAGCATTTCATTGAACAAGTGGCTGAAATTACTTATTTCTTAGATAGAAACTTTTCTGTTTATGAAACTGATTATTTGTATAATGCTCTCTTACACAGATACATTAGATGAATTAAAGAAGGCACAGCAGGAGATGGAAAATTCAGAAAAAGCTAAAATGAAGAAATAGTTCATGTGAATCCCAAGTCACAATGTGTGGTATTTGTTGTGTTGTTACTTTGTGTAGCCAACGTGTTATTCCTGATTTCCTCAGCGAAGACACACTCCACCGTCTGAGAAGAAGAGGACCAGACAGTAGCCAACAGTTGATAAAAACTGTGTCAGATCTCTCTTACAAATGTCTGTTTTCTGGCCATGTACTTCACTTGAGGGGACTGGTGACTCCTCAGCCTCTAGAAGATGCCAATAACAATGTTTTTCTTTGGAATGGAGAAGTTTTCAATGGAGTGCATGTAGGAGATCTAGACAATGACACTCAAGTAATGTTTCATCATCTCACATTATGCAGGAGCGAAGAGGACATTTTGTCACTCTTTTCATCACTCCAGGGTCCCTGGTCTTTTATTTATTACCAAGCATCTAGACACAGTTTGTGGTTTGGTAGAGATTATTTTGGTCGTCGTAGTTTGCTTTGGCAGTTCAGTCCTGAGGCTGACAGTGCTTTCTGTCTCACATCTCTAAGTGGTTATTCTGAACCAGGCAACCAATGGCAAGAGGTCCCAGCATCTGGAATTTTCAAAATTGATCTCAAAGCTTGTGCAGCAACTAAATCTTTGTCTTTAACATTGTTTCCATGGAAGTACTGGTACACAGAGAAAGCAGCAGAAGAAACATTCATTAATGTTCTTGACCAAGTGTCAAAAGATTTGCCAAGCCACATACATCTTGTGATGAATGAATCAAAGCTATGTCTCAGAGCACCAGTTATCCCCTTAAATACAGCAGTTTCTGAAGCTTCAGGTGAATGTCCAGGCACTAATAGTAGCAACATCATCCATGTGGTTTCTGTAGAAACCCTCCAAGGATTTCTCGCAGAGGAACACAAGAAAAAATTGGTGTGTCAGTTTATTGATGTTTTAAATGAAGCAGTCAAGAGACGAGTTTTATGTCTCTTTAGAGATCAAGATCAGGAAACCAGAGAAGTTCCAAGCATGTCTCATAAGAAAGCACATGTTGCAGTGCTCTTTTCTGGTGGCATTGATTCTATGGTTATTGCAGCCCTTGCTGATAAACATGTGCCTTTGGAGGAGCCAATTGATCTTCTCAACGTAGCTTTCATGATGAAAGAACAAGCTAAGCACAAGGGTACCACTAAAAGACATCCCAACCATGAAGTACAGCTTGATTTGCTTTGTCCTCAAGAAACCTGCCAAGATCTTCATGCTAAAAGTGGTGCCCATTTATGTTGCTTTGATGTTCCTGACAGAATCACTGGTAGGGCAGGACTGAAGGAATTAGAAGCCATTAACCCTTCAAGAACCTGGAACTTTGTGGAAATTAATGTTACACTAGAGGAATTGAAAAAGATGAGGACACAGCGCATTAATCACTTAATCTATCCGCTGGACACAGTCTTGGATGACAGCATTGGCTGTGCAATTTGGTTTGCTTCCAGAGGGGAGGGTTTTATTAGTAGCCAAGGAGAACTGAAACCATATAAAAGTCCTGCAAAGGTACTGATTTTTTTGTTTGTTTATTTTCTGTCTTATGTTTGTAAAACATAAGTTATGACTTACGAACGCAAAAACAGTTCTGTTGATTCAGAAATCAGGTGGTACCTTTGCTATTCATAAGGTTTCTGCAATTCAGTGACAGAATGTAGAATAGTTCTGTGATTATAATCTTTTTGTAATTCTAGAGTTAAAAACTGCATTCAGTTCTTTTGTCATGTGATGTGTATGGCTTTCCAGAGAACTTGGATAAGCAACAGCATGACTAGGAAAAAAATAATAACCCATCATCTATAATTTTCAGTGTTTCAGTTCCAATAGTGGGTAACAGCTATTCAGTCCAAACTGTGTTAACAAATTTAGAGATAAATGTTAGTGAATTATTAAGTAATATTGTTTTGTGCCAGCATCCCACCACTTGTCAAAATATCTTCTTATTTAGGCATGCTATTGATGTGATAAAATAGCAAATAGCATAGGCAGAAAAGATCTTGGCATCTTTTGTCATTAGAGTCTGAATGACAGAAATACAAAAACTAGCTCTTTCCTTTTTGTAACTTATCTTCATGTATGTAGTATGAAGTAAAATATTTTTGGTAACTAGGTGATTTTCTGGGGAATTTGATTCTGATTTCTCACTTCCCTATTTCTGATGATTTTCGGAGGGAAGAATGAACTGTTTTATTTCAGGAATTTACAAGCCAACCACCACCTCTGCTTTTTGAGGCTCCTGTTACTTTTCTAATAATTGCTAGATCCTAAAACCATAAGAAATCCACCAACAAGAGAAACCCCAACAAACGCAATAGTTTGCTTAAAAACTACTACTGTAGAACACAGCTGATACAGTTGGCAGATCTACTTAAGGATGTGCATCTCAGATTTGCAAAACATACAGATTCATCCTAGGTCCAGAATATGTTGAAATGGGTCGTGGGTTAATAAAACATAAAGCAAAAGTGTCATTTTCCCAGTTATGTACTGCTGTGTTGGTAAAAATTTAGTTGACCCAGATTAGTAAAACACACTTGACTTGTTTGTTAAAAGACTTCCACTTTTATAGTGAATTGCTGTTGAAGGCACAGCAGTGGGCCAGATGTGGTAGTTGTTTTTGTACTTACTGAGGAGACAGAACATTATGAGCCATTTTTATTTAGTGTAACGCAATGTACTAACCCAGTATCTGGTAAATTAATCTGGGTGTACATTTAGATAGCTATTTAGAATATACGACATGATCTTTGGAAACAAATTTTTTTTATAAAGGCTGGTGTTTAACAAATGCTGTTTATTGTAATAGAAACTAACAAAGACATTCTTCAAAGATACTGGTGTGTTTGTGGTGCATAGGGCGTTATTTTGATGTTTTTTCCTTGCATCAGTAGAAATGTTTGTGTGTACTTTTAGGTCTGATTGTGAGCCTATTGCAAGTTTCCAGTGATTTTTATTGGAAATTGTGTCAGACTTTGTAAATGTGTAAGGCAGGTCCTGTTGTGATGAGTAATACCTTTAGAGGATGCCTATTAAAATGAATATCCTTAAGATGTAGTTAAACATTTAAGATTGTTACATATTAACTTGCCCAGATACTAAGATTTGTTGTATCCTGTTTCCTTAGGTTGTGCTTACAGGAATTGGAGCAGATGAACAGCTTGCTGGGTATTCTCGACATCGTGTTTGCTTCAAGAAATACGGCTTAGAGGGTCTGAATAAAGAACTTGAAATGGAGTTAGGTCGCATTTCTTCCAGAAATCTGGGTAGAGATGACAGGATTATCGGTGATCACGGAAAAGAAGCCAGGTATTATTGTTTTAACATGAAGCAAAACTGGTTTTGCAGGTTAGATGCAGTTTCTAACACTCCAACAAAAAGCTTAATTGAAACTTCTGTGTGTTTTATTCTCTAGTTCTGTTGCAATTTTGCTAACGTGGTGTATTGTGTTGTGGAGTTTTTTGGTTTTGTTTTTAAAAAGGTAGCCTGTAGTACTGTGGAAGGGTTTCCTAAGGAAATTTAGTAACTTGACTTCCATCCAGAAGTTTTAAGAAGCAGCAAAAGATTAAACAGGAGAAATCAAGTACGGTTTATCATTTTAAGTGGAAGAGTCTTGTGCACAACTTTGAGGTGTTCTTGTGTGGTCATTTAGGGATTGATTTTGGAGAATGACAGCATAATGTAAAAGCTGGGTATTCTTGTCCATGCCATGACAATATCCACTGCGTTTCCTGGTGGTAAGTCTGAATAGTTAAAAAATCCTTTTAAATTTGTTTACTTCCTCCATGCTGCCACGAACTTGCAAAAAATTCCCTAGTTGTTGTCCAGTAGCAGAGGCCACTCGGGTGCATGAAAGGTTTTTTCCTGTGATCTTAGTGCCAGTGTTTTTCCAAATCTGTTCTTAGTTGCACATTTTCAGTGCAGCACAAGAGCAGTTGCAGTGGTGGACAGGCAATGCTGTTAATCATGCATGGGATTAGGTATGAATGCCTGGAATTCAGAATGGTGTCAGAATTTGTTGTGTAAATATTTTTGTTTTGAAGTTACAGTGTAGCTTCACACAGTAGTTTTAAATACTTAGGAGTTATTTTGAGAAGTGTTACTTAAAGATTTGTCTTGCCCTTCCGTTGTAGTTTCTGATGTTCTTCGTGATTTTTCTTCTGTATAAACACACCATTTCTGATCCTTGTTTTTACTGTTCTCTTTGGTTGACTTTTGAAAACTTCCAGGCTTCTGAGTGTAAAATGATACATTATGAGGTTTCTTTCTCCAGGACAGCGTAACTGCTTTGGAGAACTGTCTCAGTACTGTTATACTAAGATTTAAGGTACATCTATAGTTAGGAATTGATACAGACTCTGAAATCTTTGCATGTGGTAAGAGGGAAAACCAAAACCACTCGTATGAAATTTTTAAAGGCTCTTTCCCCACGTGTATCTTTCTTTCAGGTTTCCTTTTCTTGATGAAGATGTTGTTTCATTCCTCAATTCTCTGCCTGTCTCAGAAAAAGCTGACTTGACTCTACCTCGAGGAATGGGTGAGAAACTGCTCCTGCGCCTTGCAGCCAAGGAGTTGGGCCTCACAGCCTCCACTCTTCTGCCAAAAAGGGCCCTACAGTTTGGATCTCGGATTGCAAAACTAGAGAGCCACAGGGAGAAAGCATCTGACACCTGCAGCAGGCTGAAGTTATTTTCAGTAGGTGAATTATAGAACTACATCTTGAGATATATCTAGTCTATTTGCAAATGCAGTAAATCTTTGGAGTTTTCTTAGGATGTTTGGTCTGGTTTTTTTACGCACTTGGACATTATTATTATTAATCATCAAGCTAATACATGTAGATGTGTACTTTTACTAGAGACTCACTATGAATTCACCCCTGGAGGGAAGGGAATACTGGGCTTTGGGGAAGAGGAAATAGCCAGAAGTTGGCTTTCCCACCCTTCCAGTGTTGCCAAAATGTTGAGTCTGTCCAATTTGTCACATATATTGAATTCAGTACATTGCTTCGTGGTAGAACAGGGCTAGTCCTGCAGCTGTGCTTCAGAAGAAGGTTTGGGTTATGGTTGTGGAAGGGAGGGCATGGTGAGGAGCTGGCCTGGGTTGCCAGAGCCAAAAAGAGCTGAGGGTCTGGGGTCTTGTCAGCTCTTGGGAGATCTGCTCTCCAGGCATCATCAGACATCAGAAAACAGACATCACACACATCCCCTGGGTGTTTTGGGGCCATCCTGTACAACCTCCCAGAACTGTGGCCAGTTCTGCAGGGATGGGTTGGTTGGCAGTCCCCAGCCTGGGGCTCCCTATGTTCCCAGAGAAACTGGGAAGTTCCCTCCAGGCTCTTCTTAGTCCATTGTTGACTCCCTAGCTTGCTCTGTCTCTTTTTAGCTTTAGCTCTGCCACTTTTGCTTTTAATTGTGTCCTTCAATGAAGATCTCTTTTAAACAAATCAAAAAAAGGTCTCCCTTGAAAAAAAAAAAAGGCACTCTGGGTGGGTATGTGGATGCAATCATGGGGTTGAAATAGCAATATGAATGGACTGCCTCTGAAGAAAAGCTTGACTTAGCTTGTCTTTCTAATTGTGTATGGAAGGATTGCATTGTGATTAGCTTTACTGAACTTCTCTATTAAAAACAAAGAAGAGAAATCTAAAAGGCACTGTCTCTATACTCCGAAGTTTTAATTTTGTGTAAGAAAGAACAGGCTTCTTACACCAGCAGCAGAAAATTAGGTACTGCTGAAATTCAGTTGCACTGGCACAGCAAACACATTGAGATCTGTTTAGTCAACTGTTCTCTGCAATCATGGAAGTGAGGATTTTTTTAACATGTAATGTCAATTATAAACTTTATATGAATTATATATTATATTGATAAGTTATCATACATATTATAAATATATGAATTTATTATAAGTTATGAAGTGTAAACAATGGAGGTATTTTCATTTGTGTAAGTTCCTATTTATTAGAAAGTGCACTTTTAATTTTTTTTTCAGTTGTTTTAATACCAAGAACGCTTAGTTGTGCAATAGTAACTGGAATCACTTTGGTGATAGGACACAGCATTTGTTTCTCTGACAGGTGATTTTCAACACTGGTAAACAAAGTACTGTCAGTAAACATAACAGCATTGAAACAGTTTTTATTGAACAATTTATATTTGCATTTACTAAGTTACTTTTTAAGATGCCAACCATCGTATCTGTTTTAATTTTGGCACCTTGATGGAATCTTCTTCAACTCTTTTGGAAATATCAATTCCAAGGGGAGCTCTAGAAAATAAAATTATGTATCTGTTAAAAATAACATCATTGCCATATCACACAGATGTACAGCTTCACAGACCCTTTTTACAATTACAGTATTTCTGCACGTTCCCTGCACCATTAAATGGTCTGTCTGAAGCTGTATTTAGAAACATCTTTACACTGAAGAAATAATTGCATTTCTAGTGATGCCAAACTTGGGAAAGACAGTTGTGGTTTCAAAGCCATCTTTTGGGGATGGGGATGTTGTTAGATTCCGATTTTAGTTGCTTTGCAACTAAACTGCATTTACATGCAACTGATGAATGCAAAATGCACTAGAGATCTACAGGTATCTCTTTATATGATAATCTTACATAATGTATTTTCTACAGCAAGTGAAACTTAGTATTTTATTCACTGATATGTATACAGCAAGTTATCTTTGAAGAAGAGTATCTTATAATTTTTCATGTGAAAATTATAATACAATTTTTTTTATTGAGACCGTCCAAGTCTGTTTTCCTGAAAATGTAAAGGGAAAAAAAACCTGAAAAAAAGCCCAAGTTTAAGACCAGCTGGTACTTTTGAAATATTAGAATTTTGTTTGGCCTTAAGTATAAGATCTACTTAAATCCACAGAGCAAGCATTACCTAACTAGTCCTTAAAAAAATCAGTATTATCAGTTAAAAAAAAAAGTATTATCAGATGATATATGTTAAATTCTTTTTTTTAATTGATTGCTCATTATGAATACAGAGTTGGACTTGGAGCATGATGACTTATGCCTGTGGTGACTGAGAAGGTAAGGGGGAGTATTGCAGCTTAACTGGCTCCAGTTTTCCTGTACCACAGTGATAGCAGGAAAACACACAGAACTGTTGTGATGTGTGGTAATTTAAGTTTCTGAGCCAAACCGAACTTAAATGATCATTTGTATGTCACAACCACGTTGAACAGTAACTTTTATAAGTGTTGCAGAGATGCTCCTCAGCATCTTCTGCCACTTTTTGGTGTAACCTCCTTCCCCTTTCACTAACAGCCTGACTGAGCAGTCACTTACTTGGGTTCGTAGCGGATGCCATCGGTCCCGTGTAGAACACCGAGTCCTGCACGTAACCTTTCAATGCCATTCCTGGGCAAGAAAGCAATTACACAAAATGTTTGTCATAACTCTCTGAATATGGCACGGGGTTCAGTCCCCACAAACAGAAGTTCTTGACTCTGATGTCAGCTTTTAAACAACATTATAGAAGCACATGCAAAGAGAAACAACTCTTACCATGCAATCATTACACCGTTATCAGTGCACAGTCTTGGAGGAGGACACAGTAAAGCAAAAGCATTTGCTTCTGCCAAATTCTGTAAACCTTTTCGGATATACTGATTACTTGCAACTCCTCCTGATACAACCTGACAGCAGTGACAAAAAAAGGCATTAACTCAAAAGTACTGATGGGTCACACTCAACTAGCATCCCGTTTAAAAAGAGGTTATCAGTTCTGAAGACAGCAATAAATAACACATTTGAAGATTAAAACATATCAGAAAAGAGTATGCTAAGTGAGCTTGTTATGCTAAAAGACATTCCTGAATAAAAGCATATCAGTCTAGTGGAAGGAAGGTTGGAACTAGATGATCTTAAAGGTCCCTTCCAACCCCAATCAGTCTATGGTTCCACTGGAGCTACAACAGCCTTCAGTACTGTGGTGCACAAGGTCAAATTATGTGGCCTAAGGTGTTATGGGAGGTTAAATTAGATGGTAAGAAAATACCTTTCTAGCTTAAAACCCAACTGTGAAAGACTTCATTGTAAATATTTATATCACTATTACTTCAATCCTGATATTTTAACAGTGTAATGCATACTGAGATCTTCCTCACCTGTCAAGGCAGGAAGTACAACAAGGCATCTGCATCTTCAAATGATGTTACATAGTCAAACAGAAAAAGGAAGAAGAAGCATACCCACCAAGGTTGCATTTTTTGGTGGCAAGATGCTATTTTTGGTGCAGAACAGCATGGCCCGATAGGTGCGCTGGATGATGTGAACAGCCACTGCGTGCTGGACGGCAGCAGCAACATCCCCAACGCAGGACAGGATCTCACCTTCCTCAATACCTACAAAAATGTACGGTCAAAGGGCTTTTCCTGAGTCATCAAAACCATGGTTTATACCTGACTGTTTAAAAATACCTTCTTCTTTTTCTTTTTGTGCAATGGCATTATTGACGAGGTTCAGAAGTCCAGAGAAAGAGAAGTTGCAGTTCCGATACTGGTTCATGGGCAGTCGGAACATGAGCTGTTCCTGGTTTCCAGTCTGAGCCAAGTGCTCTATGGCCTGCCCCCCAGCCATGCTGTGGCACTCTGGGTGCTTTCTTAAAGACAGTCTTCTTGCCACCTGAGGAGAGAATAAACAACAGACTTGAAATCAGTTCCTCCTGTAACTGCACCACTGTATAGGAGTCCATGGAATAAATCCAGACACTACAAAATCCGTCCAATGTGAAATTACAAACAGGGCACAGTAAGCACAAGACATAACACCAGCTGGATTTTTTTTCCTGGAGTATTTAGAAATGCAATTCTAGAACAATTTGGGCAAACAAATTTTGTAGGAAACATTAATTATTCCCATTTTCAAGCTACAGGAAACACACACAGACTGCCATACTGTACTACCAGATACACAGGAATAAAGTTGGTTTCAACTTTATACAGTCCCCTTTCTGACTCTCCCAATTTTTTACTTAGTATGCACAAATACTGTTTAAAACTCTGTGTTTAAGAACAAAACTGTAAGTGACCAACTTTACAGACTGTACTCAGTGACCCAGAAACTTACAATTCTGAAAGCCAAACCATGCTTTTCAAACTGTAAGCAATAAAACTAGTATGAAATGTTTTAATATGTATTGTTTTAAACCTGACAGCATCCTTTAAAATAGCACTGTCAGTCTTCTCAAATTCATACAACTTGTTTGTATAATCGGTGTCAATGAAACTTCCAACGCCAGTTTCAGTTCTTAGGCTGCCTATTTACTAAAAGTATAATCAATGTACATCTGTTACAATTGATGTTATGTGTACATTTTTAACAGACTCTTGTGTCTGTTCAAAATAGAAAAAAATCCTGTTAAGTGAAGCTCATATTACACCGAATTACTATCCTTGGGCTGATGATAATACTACCATTATGTAGTATAAATGCAATAAAAAAAAGAGAAAACTAGGTTTACTTATGTCAGGAAATATTACCTTATCCAGCATGTCACCTGGTGCAATATCTATGGACTGTCCAAGCAGAAGGAAATCTGACACTCCTTGTGCTACTGCCAAGATACAGTGGCCTCCAGAGACCAAAAGAACCAAGAAGGGAAATTCCAGGTGATGTGTGAGCCTGACGGTCAGCGCGTGAGCCTCCATGTGATGGATGGGTATGAACGGCTTCTGGTGCCTGTTCACCAAGGCCAGGCTGTACTCCAGCCCCACCCCAAGGCTTAGAGCAAGTCCAGGTTTCACTGTAGTTGCAACAGCTGCAAGCTCAGGTACAGAAACGCCACTGACACGAAGCGCCTCTTCTACCACTTGCTCGATGTTTTCTCTGTGAAGCTGCTGTGCCACCACAGGAATTATTCCACCTGTTCTAGTAAAACCAAAGAATTACAATCCATTGGTGTTTCATAACAGATAGAATGGCGTAAAAATAGTTTTCAGGCACCTCTTAACCTTGCCATATCCTGCCTGTCTCCTTAGTGGATTCTGAAATGCCTTGTTTAGTGTAAAGGGCACTGAAGAGAGCTAAATTATCACTAGGAGGTCAGAAAATGATGTAACCTGCCCTTTTTGATACAGGTACTTCTTAAATGCATCTCAACACTGTTCCAAAACAATGTAATATCATATTCACAACCCCTCGCTTATTAGTTCAGGTTCTTAGCCACCAATGCTTATATTTATTTTCACTTAAAAACATTGAGACATTTGGTGGTCTTAGCAGTAACAGCGATTTCATCTTTACTTCAAGCTAGAGAGGTAATCTGTCCCCCTCTGAAAGAAAATACTAGAAGAAACTTTTGAAATGCACATTTCTTTCTTCCCCCTTAGTACTATCTCAAGCAGTAAGTATCGTAGCCCAAGGGATATGTCTTCCCACCCACCTACCTCTTACTGATTTTTATGGAGCAGGGAAGACTTCTGTGAATGATATTGCAAGTAATAATAACAAAAAAAGTTATTAAGGCAAAAGCCTTCAGAGAAGTATATTCTTACTGTAAATGGACTTCCTTCTGACAGTGCAGGGCTTCTCCCAGGACACAGCCGGCATCATCCACCACAGCAGCACCCGTGTCGTCACAGCTCGTCTCTATTCCCAAAACCAGCCTCCGAGAACACTGTTTTCCAGGGCGAGATGAGCTGCTTCTCAGCCACGCAGCTTGGCCGTGTTTAACCGATTTCAAAAGGCTTTTGGCAATACTGTTCATTGTTAAAAATCTACCTGGCAGTTATGTCTAGAAGAGAACTGTACAGTTTATTATTACTGGAGGGTTTTCAAGCATGTGCGCTGCTCTGATTTTCTGAAGAGGTGGCATTACTTTTACAGTTATGAATGGCCACACATCATATTTAAGGCACTAAGAAAAAACCGGCTGGGAGCTAGCGTCTTGTTTTACCTTAAAGAGGGTAGAGTTCCTCACCAAGCTGGTTGTGTGCGGTGCTTCTGGCAGCCCTACGGGCGGGACTGAGCCCCCGCAGCAGCACCGCCGTGTGTCCGCGCCGCTGCCCGGGCAGCCCTGTGCTCTCCGCCGCTCCAGGGCCACGGGCTCGCCCCGATCCCCGGAGGATGCTCCTCCCGCCCGGCGGCACCTCCGTGTCACGGCGCCCCTGCACCGTCCCCTGTCGCGACCTGTCGCCGCTGCCGCCCCCCGCTCTCCCCGGCGCTCGGCTCCGCCCCGCCGGGTCACAGGGCGGCGCTTCCCGGGCACGGCGCAGCCGCCGAGCTGCGATTCCTTAATCCAAGGGTTTTGTCCGGCCGCCCGGAGGCATCCCCGCCCCCTGACCTGCGGTCCCTAAGGTCGGTCCGTGTCTTAAAGTCCCTGCCACTTGTACAAGGCAGTGACCGTCAAAGGCAGCACAGCCTTGCGATGGCCACTACTTAAAAATCAGTTACCGCTTCCTGTCCAAATAACGCAAAGAACTCATTACTAAATTGCTAAAGAAAATTCGTAACGCATTGCCATTTCTTCACAGTACCTTTATCGGTAAAGTAAATAACCAGAAAATTTCCTTACCAAGAAAAGAAGTACGCCACTGTGGGCTTGTCTTTTTTTATTTTTATTTTTAATTTTTTTTCCAGCTCACTGGCTGTCACTGCAACCAAAATGTAAATCAAGTCTTAAATGGAGTCTTCTGTTAAATCTGAGCCAGTTTTGGCTGACAGACAAACAGCAGACTTCAAAATTCATCCTTTTTCCAAGACAGAGAAATAAGTGCTCAGAGCTGTA